CTGCTGTGACTGATAGATGGAACACTGTGTACTTGGACATTACATGTGTATTTGATTGACAACTGTTGTGATAGTGGTTTCCAAAAAGTGTTTGGTGCCTCTGAAGATGATCGAAATGGATCGAAACATGTAAGGCTAGTGAATCATCAAGTGAGAAAACTGAAATAGTCGCGTTGGACGGACTTGTATTTTATAATTGTCTTTATTATACCTTATTCTCCATATCCCATTCTCTTTTATTGGTCCATAAATTCGTCTTAGGGTTCTCCTCTCGAATGAACTGATCACTGATTCCTCTTTCTTGTTTAGCGTCCAACCCTCACATCCATAATAAAGCACTTCACCTTACTTAGCAACCTGTTGTCCGACACCATGCTAAATGACAGCTAAAGCAGATGCCAAATGACCTCTGTAGTTGATACAGATTCACTATATAACCTATGAGACACATTAGAATGACACCGACTCTCACACAGTTGAATGGCTACAGTTCCTACTTCGGATTCTAAAGATACCGGCTTCGAATCTTGTTCCTAAGACCGAATATACTTTCGTGGGGTTTTTTTTTTCGATACAGCAGTTAAATACGGGGATAGTAATTTTAAGTTTCTCATTGTGACTACTTTCCTTCGCCGGATGGGTTAATGTAGCTCTTTACTCTTTTTCGGAAGGTACTCGGTTCGAACCTTGGCCGTGGCACCAACTACCCCGGACTGAGGTTTTCTGTGGTTTCTCTCAGTCCCTCCGAGACAAATGCCGAGATGATACCTCGATTTTCTTATGGCCAATTTCTTTCAAATCATGCACAATGTATCATTCGTGTGTCATCAAACGCTATGTGGTCCAGCGACTTCCAGCATTTTATGGAACCCGAAGGTTCATCACAGTGTTCACAAGAGCCCTCCACTGGTCCGTATCCTGAACCAGATCAATCCAATCAATACCATCCCATCCTAACTCTCTAAGATCCATTTTAGTCCACCCACCTACTTCTTGGTGTTCCCAGTGGTCTCCTTCCTTCCGGCTTTCCGAACAATATCCTATATGGATTCCTCTTCTTTCCCATTCTTACGATATGCCCTGCCCATCTCATCCTCATTATGTGGTTTTCTTCAATCTCCCGTCTCTTCTTCTCTCTTAGGTCCAGCAACGTAAAATAAGCCTCCAGCATAACCCACATTTTCATATTTATTATTCACATTAATTTTAATTTCACAATGTTGTATAACATTTAGAATCGAAGGAATGCCGTTAACTAACTCAAGATTTTTTTTTTTTTCCCTTTGACGCTACAGCTCCAATTTGGGGCTTGGCCTACCTACAAGAAACTCTCCGTTTCACTTCGGTTTACTAGATCTTAGACATTCGGTAGGACTCCTTGGTCGTGTGATCAGCTCGTCGCAAGGCCTCTACCTGTACACAAACACGGAAAAACGCACACACACAGACAAACACTAACCATCCCTGCCCTGGGTGGGATTCGAAACCACAATCCCGGCTTCCGAACGAGCGAAGACAGTACATGCCTTGGACCACTCGGCTACCGTGACCGGCAACTCAAGGATTACTTAATCGTAATATTTAGGACGCTTAATTACGATAGAAGTGAAGATGAAACTGACCTTCTGTGACGAGATTGGTGACCGCTTGGCGTAAGTTCGCAGGCAGAGACTCTGCTATTCCTCTTGAGGTTATCATTTCTTGAAAGACTGGAGACAAATTCCATTGGATACTACGTTCCTGGAAAAATGCCATTAACTTCTGATACACGAAAGATTCAATAGCAAATTCCCTCGTCTCATAGTCTTGAGCTCCTAGAATTTGTTCTTCTGCCTCAGTATCTTCTGTTGCTCGTGCTTCGGCTTGATTCTTGCCTTCTTCTTCGCGAACTAACGATAACACACCAATTAGATCAACTTTGTCTTGATCAACAAACGATTTGAAACTTCTATAAATTTGTATCTGAACACATGATATAGAATTTTTATTGAAACATTCTTGAATTGTTGTATCCGGTGCTGGAATATCATCATTAACTGTCATCTCTGATGATTCTAACATGGCTACCCTAAAATATATCACAACGAAAACCAAAATATTTCTATTTGTTGCCATCATGATGTGTTAAGATCTTCCTTATTCAAATTAATTAGTTTCTGTATGTATAAAGTATTCGTAAATGCAGCTTAGATACTGAGTTAAGTTCAAATGTTTGTTTTCATCCTCGGTTGTGTAGACACTTTTAAAGTTCCCCCACCTTCAGTGAGTAGATTGTCCAATAAACGTAACAGTTTCACTGTATGTCCCTAACTTAAGATAAGTGCAAGCGACTTTGCAGGTCTCCGCCCAGGTACAGAACACAAGACTTGAACTTGAAGGCATATCTCATATGGCACATGTCCGAAACTCCTCCCCGCATTTCCTACTATGGCGAATCTCCTAGGAATTGTCACGGCAGCTACTGTGAACTGGATTAAAAACTCCTAACCTCTACACAACGCTTCCTGCGTTGTCGTATAGAGGACAGTCTGTAAGAGCTATGAGTATTGTATGCTTTGGGTGGAGTGTGTACTGTGAGGGAGGGGCACTATGTATATCTAACATGTCCCGTTCAGTTTTAAATGGGACAGCAAATATAACCTTGTTCGAAAAGGTCAAGTTCATCATGCGGAAACATACATTTAATGTATATTATTTTAGAAATGCGTTCTTACATATTTTATATACTTCATTGACCTTAGTTTGATTATAGGGTTATTTAAGAACGCTCTCACATCTGCATGAAATATAGATCGAAGATAATACACCCAAATGGCCTTTGAAAAATATGATGTGTCTGTTAAAAATAATTGGAAATTTTTACATTTCCCGTCTCTTAGTCACGGTTTCCATTGAATCACTTCTTTTCCCTATAGACCTTGAGGAATGCTGATAATAAGGCTTTCCTTGCATGCTCACTCAAAGAACTTGATACATTCTGGGAAGACGTCGAGAGAGAATAAACGTAATCCTGGTGGTGATCATCATATTGGTCGAGAACGAATAAGTACCATTCTTAGCCTTTGAAAGTCAAGTGGTTACTATATGAACCACTTGATTTAACACACTAAAACTCTGCATTTTCCCCGCAAATGGTTCTTACAATAAACAGCGACTCTTTTCCTAAACAGCATCAACCGGTTGGGCTTTGTAGCGGAGACGTAATAGGTTTCCTGTGAGGTACGGACTGAATTTTTATAAATTGTTTAAAGCGAATTCAGTGTTTAAAAGGTTAATTCGCTTCCGAAGGGGGTTACAGTAGTAGAAATGAGACTCGCTTTACCTGAGTGAGTCTTATGCCGGCGCATGCGTAAAAGAAACTAACTTTGTTCTGTGAAGTGCGAAGTGGCTGAGCAGACTTGAAGCCCTCCTAATATTGTGATAGTTTGCAGCCTGGCCAAGGCTATAGATCACTTTCAAGTGCCCTGATGGGTGAATATGGCGCAGTACTGGAGAGGAAAACCGAAAGAATTTTTAGGAACACCCGCTCAGGCCATAAGGAGTCTCACATGAAGTCACCCGGTATTCAAGACGAGGATGCGCACTGAGAATCCAAATGTAACCGCTGACTTATGACAAGCCTCGTCTACTGTATCAGCGTTTCTCAGGTGGCGGTCGTCTGGGAGAGACGCGAAGTGTCCGGAGTAACAATTCGGTCTCTCAGGATTCAATTACGCGAAGCTTCTGCTCATCGTTAGGAAGAGCTACTCTGAAATCGCGTTTGTGCTGGCATTGTAGCAATAGAACATATCAGTAACAGCGTTACAGTTATGCAGATTCTTAGAAACTGCCATTAAACATTAAGACAGTACTAAAATGCACTTCCAACTAGTACCGAGTTCAAGAATACTTGGATCTATACATCTGCTTCCCCATACGTCTTCATGGCATAATGCTTAATTGATTAATCACAGGACAAATTTACCTCTATTTTTACTTTTGCGTAACTGTAAAAATACTTTTCATGTAAAAATATAAGCTTTGATGTTACTGAGATAACTCGGTATAGCGAACGGTTACGGGTTTGACGACCTGCGTTCGATTCCCGGCAGGGGTAAGACGTTTTTGTTCTACTCCACAACGTAGAGTCCGGCTCTGGAGCCTACCTAGCCTCCTATCCAATGGGTAGCGGGGGCTCTATCCCCGGGGGTAAAGGGCTGGGACATCAAGCTGCCCACTCAACCCATCTGCTGTCGAGGTCAAGAAAGTTGGAGTTATACCTCCACACCACCATATGCCTTCATGGCGTGGTGCTTCATTACTTAAGCACAGGGGCAACTTTGTCTTTATGCCGACACCATATTTTTTT